TTCCCGAGCCATTAGGCTCGGCCAAAAAATAGCCCATTTGAACCCGTATAAACGGGTTCAGGGCCGGTTTTACCTCCCCGAAGGAGACTCCGCCCTTCGGCGTAGCCTCCTTCGGGTTCCTCCCGCCCGTAGGAAGAGAGTTCAACCGAGCAGTCGGTCGACCGAGATCAGACTTGGACTACTGACGATATTCAGTCACCCCCCCACGAGGGTGTCATGTGGCACAAGGCCTTTTTAACGTGGGCATTCCCGAGCCATTAGGCTCGGCAAAAATAGCCCATTTGAACCCGTATAAACGGGTTCAGGGCCGTTTTACCTCCCCGAAGGAGACTCCGCCCTTCGGCGTAGCCTCCTTCGGGTTCCTCCCGCCCGTAGGAAGAGAGTTTAACCGTGCAGTCGGTTCAGAGTTGAACGACTGACAATATTCAGTCACCCCCACGAGGGTGTCATGTGGCACAAGGCCTTTTTAACGTGGGCATTCCCGAGCCATTAGGCTCGGCCAAAAATAGCCCATTTGAACCCGTATAAACGGGTTCAGGGCCGGTTTTACCTCCCCGAAGGAGACTCCGCCCTTCGGCGTAGCCTCCTTCGGGTTCCTCCCGCCCGTAGGAAGAGAGTTTAACCGAACAGTCAGTTCAGACTTTAACGACTGACGATATTCAGTCACCCCCCCACGAGGGTGTCATGTGGCACAAGGCCTTTTTTAACGTGGGCATTCCTGAGCCATTAGGCTCGTAAAAAAAATAGCCCATTTGAACCCGTATAAACGGGTTCAGGGCCGTTTACCTCCCCGAAGGAGACTCCGCCCTTCGGCGTAGCCTCCTTCGGGTTCCTCCCGCCCGTAGGAAGAGAGTTTAACCGTGCAGTCGGTTCAAAGGTGAACGACTGACAATATTCAGTCACCCCCCACGAGGGTGTCATGTGGCACAAGGCCTTTTTTAACGTGGGCATTCCTGAGCCATTAGGCTCGGCCAAAAAAAATAGCCCATTTGAACCCGTATAAACGGGTTCAGGGCCGGTTTTACCTCCCGAAGGAGACTCCGCCCTTCGGCGTAGCCTCCTTCGGGTTCCTCCCGCCCGTAGGAAGAGAGTTTAACCGAACAGTCAGTTCAAACTTGAACGACTGACGATATTCAGTCCCCCCCACGAGGGTGTCATGTGGCACAAGGCCTTTTTTTAACGTGGGCATTCCCGAGCCATTAGGCTCGGCCAAAAATAGCCCATTTGAACCCGTATAAACGGGTTCAGGGCCGAGTTTACCTCCCGAAGGAGACTCCGCCCTTCGGCGTAGCCTCCTTCGGGTTCCTCCCGCCCGTAGGAAGAGAGTTTAACCGTGCAGTCGGTCAGAAAGACTTGAACTGACTGACAATATTCAGTCCCCCCCCCCACGAGGGTGTCATGTGGCACAAAGGCCTTTTTAACGTGGGCATTCCCGAGCCATTAGGCTCGAAACGAAAAAAATAGCCCATTTGAACCCGTATAAACGGGTTCAGGGCCGGTTTAACCTCCCCGAAGGAGACTCCGCCCTTCGGCGTAGCCTCCTTCGGGTTCCTCCCGCCCGTAGGAAGAGAGTTTAACCGTGCAGTCAGTTCAAAGTGAACGACTGACAATATTCAGTCACCCCCCACGAGGGTGTCATGTGGCACAAGGCCTTTTTTTAACGTGGGCATTCCCGAGCCATTAGGCTCGGCAAAAAATAGCCCATTTGAACCCGTATAAACGGGTTCTGGGCCGTTTTACCTCTCCCGAAGGAGACTCCGCCCTTCGGCGTAGCCTCCTTGGGTTCCTCCCGCCCGTAGGAAGAGAGTTTAACCGTGAACAGTCAGTTCAAAAGTGAACGACTGACAATATTCAGTCACCCCCCACGAGGGTGTCATGTGGCACAAGGCCTTTTTAACGTGGGCATTCCCGAGCCATTAGGCTCGGCAAAAAAAATAGCCCATTTGAACCCGTATAAACGGGTTCAAAAAAAATTTTACCCCCGAAGGAGACTCCGCCCTTCGGCGTAGCCTCCTTCGGGTTCCTCCCGCCCGTAGGAAGAGAGTTGAACCGTGCAGTCAGTTCAAAAGTGAACGACTGACAATATTCAGTCACCCCCCCACGAGGGTGTCATGTGGCACAAGGCCTTTTTAACGTGGGCATTCCCGAGCCATTAGGCTCGGAAAAAAAAATAGCCCATTTGAACCCGTATAAACGGGTTCAGGGCCGGTTTTACCTCCCCGAAGGAGACTCCGCCCTTCGGCGTAGCCTCCTTCGGGTTCCTCCCGTCCGTAGGAAGAGAGTTTAACCGAACAGTCGGTTCAAACTTGAACAACTGACAATATTCAGTCACCCCCCACGAGGGTGTCATGTGGCACAAGGCCTTTTTAACGTGGGCATTTCCGAGCCATTAGTAAACCAGCAAAAAAATAGCCCATTTGAACCCGTATAAACGGGTTCTGGGCCGATTTTAACTCCCCGAAGGAGACTCCGCCCTTCGGCGTAGCCTCCTTCGGGTTCCTCCCGCCCGTAGGAAGAGAGTTGAACCGTGCAGTCAGTTCAAAACTTGAACGACTGACAATATTCAGTCACCCCCCACGAGGGTGTCATGTGGCACAAGGCCTTTTTAACGTGGGCATTCCCGAGCCATTAGGCTCGGCCAAAAAAATAGCCCATTTGAACCCGTATAAACGGGTTGATTGGGCCGGTTTATATTCCCCGAAGGAGACTCCGCCCTTCGGCGTAGCCTCCTTCGGGTTCCTCCCGCCCGTAGGAAGAGAGTTGAAACATTTGCAGTCAGTTCAAAACATTTTGATACTGACAATATTCAGTCACCCCCACGAGGGTGTCATATGGCACAAGGCCAATTTTTAACGTGGGCATTCCCGAGCCATTAGGCATCGGCAAAAAAAATAGCCCATTTGAACCCGTATAAACGGGTTTCAGGGCCGGTTTACCTCCCGAAAAGACTCCGCCCTTCGGCGTAGCCTCCTTCGGGTTCCTCCCGCCCGTAGGAAGAGAGTTTAAACCGTGCAGTCAGTTCAAAGGTGAACTGACTGACAATATTCAGTCACCCCCCACGAGGGTATCAAAATGGCATATAATATTTTTTTAACGTGGGCATAAAATGAGCCATTGTCATTTTCGGAAAAAAAATACAGAAATTTGAACCCGTATAAACGGATATATATATATTTTTACCTCCCGAAGGAGACTCCGCCCTTCGGCGTAGCCTCCTTCGGGTTCCTAGATCCCGTAGGAAAAAGATTGAACCGTGCAGTCAGTTCAAAACTTGAACAACTGACTACTGATTTTTTTGCCCCTCCTGATATGCACTAATTATTAACAATGGAATAGTCCATTATTATGGAAATACATAAGATCCCATAACAAAAATAAATAAATTTAAAATGGTTAAAGGAGTTGTTTTTTTTAATCTCTAAACATTGCTTTTTTTAGTTTCATTTTTCACCATCTGTCAGCACAATGAAATTCTCTTTGTCTAAAAATATCTTTTTCAAAAATATACTTTTCTGAAACTTTTTTAATGGGGGGTTAAGTTCTCGACTCCTAGTATTAAAACATTTTTTTTTAATCTTCGATGTCGATTTTTTAGAAGTTTTATTGGGTCGAGTAGGGCTTTTTTGAGTTTTAACTAATTCCTAATTGCAGCAAAAGCACAAATCGTAGGAAATTTAAGTAAATTTGATGACTATAATTAATTTTATAATTGATAGCTGACATTAGGATTAGATGTATATATATATATAATAAGTGTATTAGTGTTTTATTTATATATATATATAAAAAATAAAACAAATATATATATATATATATATATATATATTTATTATAAATTTGGCTAAATAGAAAGAATATATTTTTCCCAATAAAGTTTCATTAAAAACGACAGAGAAAGATTTAAAACTACGGTTAAGCTTTTTTTTTAATTTTTAATGTTCTGATTTTATTTTTTTTTCTGGACAAAAGTTAAGAACTATCCGAATGTTTGTATTATAAATCGCTTTTAAAATATTTTTTAGCCATTATCAATAGAATATTCAATATTCTTAGTTTAAAATTGAATCATTTTTTTGAATGGATTTTAAAATATTTTTCGAAATAAATAAGGCGAAAATACATCCATGGACAGTAAACAATTTTGTCCAGAAAAGAAAATTTTTTTCATGATTTTAAAAAATTAAAAAAAAACTAAATTATAAATTTTTGTCTATCAGTTTTTAATGAAATCTTAATATATATATATATATATATATATATATATATATATATATATATATATAAATATATTAGTGTTTTGGGATTGATTAATCGGAAAAATCGCAAAGTCGAAGGTTAGAAATCGAAATTCACAGATTTCGTATTGATCTTTTTGAGAGTTTAATTTTTTTTATTTTATTTATAAATCATTAAATTAAACGAAGTAAATATTAAAGAGTTCACTTAGCCTATTCCCTCAGCAAACCTTTTAAATTGATTTACCTATTTTAAATGTATTATATGACGCCTCTCAGAGAAAGAAACACTTTGAGTATTAAAAGATTGAAAAACGCATCAGACAAGATTTTAAATTTTAATGGCACCATAGTCTGTTATATCGTTGTCTGATATTTCTGAAATAATTGTTTGTTTTATTTTTTTTTTTTTTTCGGTTTCATCAAGTGGATCTATAAAATTTTTTCAAAAGTTTTTCAGTGTGTTCAGACATAATCGCCTAAAAAGTAAAAAATTGGAGGGGGGAGCTTTATCTGAATATTTTTTTAATTTGACAAAGTTCTCATTTTTTTCCATTATGTAATTGTAAAAAGATTTTAATAAACTCATTGTGAGATATTCATTGTTAATATTTTTCACTTTTGCCATTTTTTTTTATGCTGTTGCCATTTTTACCGTTGCCATTTTTACTAATGCCATTTTTCCGTTGCCATTTTTACCTAAATTATATATATATATATATATATATATATATATATATATATATATATATATAAAAGTGAGACAGATAAATAGATAATAGATAGATATGAAAGATAAAATAGATAGATAATAATAGATAGATAGATAATTAAGACCCAAAGATAGATAGATAATGAAGACATTGAATAGATAAAAATATAAAAGGGCTGAGATAGATAGATAATTAGATAATAGATATAAGAGACTGAAATAGATAGATAGAAGATAGATTTTAGTCCCAAATAGATAGATGCATGAATAGAAAAAAAAAAAAATTTAAAAAATACTAAGAGAGATTTTTTTTTTTCAACTTTTGTTTCTTTTATAAATTAGCCCATCTGCTGTTTGTCTTTATCAGGCAGATGGCGCCAGTCAAATCTTCAGTCGCGTCCATCAGGTCCCGAAACTCAAAATGTCAATGGAAGAAGCCTTTGCTTTTACCGAACGTTTAGAATGGATATAATATTAAATAAATAAATAGAATAACAATAGGTGAATATTTGTACAAACGAGATGACTTTTTGGTAAATAATTAGAGTTATAAACGAAGATTTGATATTTGATTTTAAAATTTCAAATAGCAGAAATAATTTAGTGGTAAATATAAAATAGATTCGCTAAAACGATATAGATATACCACGATGAAAAAAAATATATATATTGATTTAATAAAAAAAAGTTAAATCGTCAAAAATTTTTCTGGTTTAACCCGGATATAAGAGACCCGGATATAAGAGAAACCCGGATATAAGAGCTTTTTCTGGTCCCAAATTAGAGCCTGTGTTAATGTATATAAAATAGACAAAACCCGGATATAGAGAAACCCGGATATAAAATTTTATCTGGTCCCAAATTAGAGCCTGTTTTAATGTATATAAAATAGACCAAACCCGGATATAAGATAAACATTATATATATACTTCTTCTCCGGTCCCGACAACTTTCTTATATCCGGGTATTAATTAAAATGAAAGACGAAAGCATTTTTTGATTAAATTATATTTTTCGATCCTATCTGGATGGTTTGGTTAAAAATCTTGTCTTTCGGGCATCAGCAAGGGGACCAAATATTAGTATAAGTAATTTTAGCGTCTGTTTCGATTTTGGAAAAAAAAAACACATTAATTTGGAAATTCTTGCAAAAATCAAATAATTCTTGGATTTTAATTAACCTTTCACGAATTATTCACAAATGAATGAAATTATTTTAGAAATGTTTCTTTTTTTTAGAATTATGGTAAAATATATTTTTTTATATATCTGTTAACTCCCCCTTTCGAGAAATTAAATTTTGTTTAGCTTAATATTTACATTACGCAGAACCCCTTGATGAATTTTAATCATTAATTCTTTTGTAAAAGGAAACTCCCAGTTACCGAAAACCTGCTCTGGATCATAAAATAAAATAAAACTAAGACATTATTTATTTAAAAAAGATTATAATTGCTTTTATGAATAAGATATCGTAGGTATTTATTGTCTTAAGAAAAACAATTTGCACCCACGAAAATTGATCATTAAAATACTCCGAGAACTTGTTCTTATAACTAATCGAAACTACTTAACCTATACAAAAAATAATTTCTCGAAATTTCACAAATTTAAATGGGTGGCGTGTAACATCTAAAAAAAAATATTTTTGCAAAAAAGTTTTTAAGAAAGAAACATTTCAAAATAATTTCATTCAATTCTGAATAATTTCTGAAAGATTGATTAAAATTCGAAAATTATTTCATTATTGCAAGAATTTCTGAAATTTTATTAAGGAATATATATATGGTTATTTTTAATTTATTTGTTTAAACAATATTTTTTTAAAACTTCCTAGTTACTTACATGATCTGTCCATGGTATTCTCAGCATACTTCTGTAGAACCACATATCTATTGCTTCTCTCTATCTGCATGGAGAGTGTCCAGCATCTATGCTACATAAGAGAATTGATATTACACAGCAGACTAGCACACATTTCCTTGCTTCAAGCATACTTTTCCTGTATCTTAATACTCTGCTTAGCTTTTGGAAGGCTTCTGTCGATAAAAAAACTCCCATTTAAAAAACAAAATAAAATTTTCAATTCATCTTGACCTCTAACAGCTGATCCCAAAAAGCCTTGAGCCAGCATTGTCTTTGGAAAAGAAATATTTCATTCGATTCCCCGACAAAATACTTTCCGCCATTATCTTTAAAAGGGCGGGAAACATTTAATTTGATGACATGAGAATGTCCTTACCTTCTATTATTTCTAAGCGCGCTCGTCTGAAAGTCAAAATGTATCATGAAATTTTGTTATAAAATCATTCACACGAAGTTGTCCAAATATCAAACGCACGAAACCCCAAATCCTGTCAGCCCCGACCAGTAGAAATAAAAAATGAAAAAAAGGAAACCACCGGAGCCAGATTGTCTTTTAATGGATTTTAAAACTTTTGGGTTCAATTTATCATCTACTTAAAAATTTTGCCCTTTTTTCCTCCAAGAGTTTTAGAAATAAAAGGTTCCGTTTAACATTTTCAAAAGTCGTTAGAGTAACAGGGAAATCATATATTTCAATTCAGATGTTTATATGAAAAGGCGAATGTATTTTGGGCGTCATGTAAAAGTGATATTTATGTTGCAAGAAAGAATAGAGAATTTTACAAGCATGCAGTATTTTATTTGTTTACTGTACCAGCGGTCGCCAATCTTTTGAAAGTCATGGGCCACTAAATGTATAATTTTAAATTTGACGGGCCACTAATATGAATTTCGAAAAAAAAAAGCTAAATACATTTACCGTAATTCTCCATATATAATACGCCTTCATCCATAATACGCAACCCTAAAAATGTGCTGAAAGTGTGAGAAAATGCTTCTACTTACGCATAAGACGCACCCCTTGTTTGGTAACCAAACCTTATAAACTGTACCTCTCCAATTTCATTACGGCCAGCGTTTCTTACATTTATTTTTTTAAAAATGGTTTTAAACATAGAATAATATTATTCTAATTTAGTTTTATGATAATTCTTATTTTATTTTACATTTGTAAGTATTGTTAGGTACATGTGATTTTATATGACATCCTTATGGGGTCGCAATCGCCGAATGTTAGTGTCAAATTGTCGTATGTTTGTGGTGAGTAGTCATTTCGTAACTGAAATATACCAGTTATGGCTAAATAGCAGGACAGACCAGGTTCTGTAACCTTGGATGGAAACTGGTCTACCGTAGAAAGAAATGGCAACCTACTGAAGGAAAAAAAATCTGCCTCGTCAGTCATGTATCAAAAGACACATGATTTGTTAAAACGCATGGCATATAACTGATTGAATTATATTTTAAAGGAATCTGAGAGCGAAGAAACGAATTCCAGTCGAAAAATTTTATTTTTTTCACTTACGTGCTAATATCCTTGGGAAAGGTATGAATCCTGTTGTTTCTCCCCTCCAAAAATGGGTAAATAGCAGGATAGAAATGGGTTCTATAGATTTGGATGGCAACTGGTCTACTGCAGAAAGAAATGGCATTTTACTGTAGGAAAAAAATCTGCCTCGTCAGTAATGTATAAAAAGATACATGAAATTAAAGGGTTTATCACATCACTGCCCATAACTGTCTGCCGAAAAATTATCGCTGAACTTGAATTTTAATTTTTAAATATTAATGCAATAAACTTAAATGCAGCGATCAATTTTGAGTTCTTTATAGTTTATTGTTATTATCGCATCTTCCATTTACATATTGTGATGAATTTAATCAAAAGCACAGCTGCATATTAAGCTATTTAAATGTCGCCCAATAGTGTCAAATTTTTAAACTAATTTTAAATATATTTTTAAACACGTTTGAAACATTTTTTCCACAATCAATTTAAATATATTTTTAAACATTTGAGTGCGTGAAAAAATGTCATCTACTAAGGGCCAAAAAAAGGATAATTTTTGTTAAATTAAAGCAATCACCCATGCTCTAAAGGGAAAATAATATAGAAAAATGTTATAAATCGCTTAGAACGAAATCACGTGTTCAGACGCCACCATTTTAAAAAAAACACAAAACTTTCTTTCAACTTTCAATCCAAAAGACTGAATAAATTTTCAAAGGTTTATTTTTAGGATCTGAAAACATTTGTAAAAAATTATGGAATAGAATTAGCCTCATATTCCTATAATTAATTAATATGATTTCCATTATTATTTTTATTATTATTATTATTATTATAAAAATTAATTATTATTATTATTCTAAAAATGAAAAGTTGCATTTTCAATTAATTTATTCTGTCAAAAATTTGAAATGCCATCACTTAATTATGAAAAGGAAAAAATTTTTTTATGTTTATTTCTTTTATCCTAAGTTTTTTTTAAAGAGCATTTGGTAGGTTTTAGAAATGATTTTTTTGATCATTCATATGTTCCAATTTGATTTAATTTTTTTAAAAAAATAAAAAATAGTTTTCACATGTCTCGAATCAAATTCAATAAATAGTTTTGAATATGAAGAGGTTAAAAAGAGAAAAGGGTTCTGACGGATGAGTATCAAAAAACTAAACGAGGAAGAAAAAATGAATTTTTAAATGTCGATGAAAAAAGAAGAAAAAATTTTAAAGAAAGAAAGAGGAAAGAAAAAAAGAAATAAAAAAAAGAAAGAAAGAAAACTTGAAAAAGACATAAGAAAGAAAAAAGAAATCCTAAAACTACAAAAGTTGGATATAATTTCCAAAGATAAAAATAATCTTTACAAAAAAAGAAAGACCTGGTAAATTAAAGAAACTAAAGAGAAAGAAAAAAGAAAAGCAATGAAAAAAGAAAAAAAAAAAGAAAGAAAAATTTACATGGAGGAGAAAAAAAAAATAAAGAAAAGGAAAATTACATGGAGGTTATATAAAATCATTTTCATGGAAAAGAAAAGATGAAAAGTTAGCATAATCTAGAAAAGCCAAAAAAAATAAAAAATATAAATGAAAAAAAAGAAAAGAAAGAAATTCAAAGAAAGAAAGAAAACAAAACTTTCTTTTTGTTTCTAATGTTGAAAAAAAGAAAGAAATGAAAAAATGTTTGAAAAGAGACATAAAAAGAAAGAAAAAAAAAAATACAATTGAAAAAGTTTGAAAAAAACTTAAAATTGAAAGAAACTAAAAGAGAAAAAAAAAAAAAAAAGAAAGAAATGAAAGAAAAAAAATTACATGGATTAGTTGGAAGTTAAAAAGAAAGAAAAGGAAAAATTTTTTTTAAAAATTAAGGATGAATTTGAAAAATAATTAAAATTGGAAATTTTGATGTTTTAAAACGGAAATTTAAAGAAAGAAAAAAAAAAAAAAATTTTGAAAGGAGACATTAATTTAAAAAAAGAAAAAAACTTTATCCTGAGACAGGAATAAAACCGAAAAAGAAAATTTTAACTTACAATTTAGAAAAAAAAATAGATTTTTTAAATTGATTTTCTTAAAACTAAAGAAAATGAATATAAAAATAAAGTTAAAAAAAGAAAAAATAAAGCAAAAAAAAAAAAAATTACATGGAGGACTAAACGGTTTTTTTTATTGAAAATTACAAAAGGATAAAAAAAAAGAATAAAAAAAAAAGTGTTAAAAAAAATTTGAAAACGGAAAATTTGGTTTGTTAAACTAAAAAAAGAAAAAAAAGGAAATCCAAAAAAAGGAAAGATTTGGAAAAAAAGAAAAATTATGAAAGATTTAAAAAACGAAAATCAATTTTTTGAAAGAAAGAAAAAAAGAATGAAAGAAAGAAAGAAAGAAAGAAAAAAATTATTTGGACAAGAAAATTTAATAAAAAAAAATTTCAATTCAGAAAAAAAGAATAAATTCCTTTTAAAATTAATATAGAAAAACTAGAAAGAAATGAAAACATAAAAGAACCTTTGAAAAAAAAAATAAAAGAAAAGAATCCATTTTAAACAATTAGAAAAAAATAAAGAAACTGATTGAAAGAAAGAAAGAAAGAAATTTAAAAAAAGAAAAAATTACACAAAATGAAAATCAAAGAAAGAAAAGATGAAACTCAAGCATAAAATAGAAAAGGAAGAACAATAGAAAGAATGAAAGAAAGAAAAAAAGAAATTAAAGTTTAAAGAAAGAAAGGAAGAAAAAAAGGTAAATCGATTAAAAAAAGGATGAGAATGAAAGAAATGAATTTCCATTGCCGAAAGGAAAAATTTTGACTTACTTAAGAAGAAACAAAAAGAAGAGAAAAAAAATATTAAAAAAAATTCCTTTTGAATGAAGAAGAAACTTAAAGAAAGATAGGGAGATCGCTAAAGAAGAAGAAAAAAGAAGAATAAAAAGCAAAGATAAAAACTGATAGAAAGAAAAGACAACCATTAAAGAAAGAAAAGAATGGGTTATATATGAAAAAAAAAAAAAGTTTCTTAATAAAAAAAGAATGAAAATAGGAAAAGAAGAAAAAAAAAGAAAGAAGGAAAGATCACTGAAGAATAAAATATAGAATGGTAAAGTGAATGAAAAGATTTTTGCTAAAGAAGAAGAAAAAAAAAAAAAAGATGGTATAAAGGTATATAGCTGAAGGAAAAAGAAAACAAAATTAAACAGAGAAATAAAGTTATTTCTTCAACACAGTCTCTTAGATTCTATCAGTTTTGATTATGTGTTTTCGTTTAGCATGCATGTTCAATTATTTTATAGGTTATTAATTTAAAAATTTATATATATATATATATATATATATATATATATATATATATATTAAATAATAAGATGTTTTAAGATACAAGTCTTAATAATTAATCTGATTTTTTGGAAATAATTCATACCTTTCCCAAGAATATTTATAAGTTGTGACGAACCCAAAAGGCCAAAACACGACTCTCAAATTAGTACAATTACAATCAAAAGAAATTAACCATTATACTTCAAAACATTCTAAATGATCACCATCCAAGGTATTTAACCAGGATCAACTTTCTGTCTAATCGTACCAAAACTTTTGAAATTTAATATAAAGGTATCACAGGAATGGTGCGACTACACAATTGAATTAATTGAATAAAAATCAGAAAAACCCGAAAACAATTTGATGTTTCAAAATCTATTTGAGAAATCATCAGAATGATCATCCAAATATAGCGTATTGATTTTTACAAATGTTCAAACATTCAAACATTATATTATATATATATATATATATTTATATAATAAATATAAATTTTATATATATATATATATATATATATATATATATTACCCATATAAATATCTATGCATGATAGAAATAGAGAAAAATATAGAGTTCATTTGTTTTTAAATGATGACACTTTTGTATTTAAATTAAACATTTTTTTCAAATAACTCCATTTAAAGCTTAAAAATATATAAATATATATATATATATATATATATATAAGTCTATAATAAATATAATAATAAATATTATACATTATATATATATATATATATATATATATATATATATAATCTTATATTGTATAAATTTTATAGAGACTTTAAGTTTTAAAATTTTTTAGGTTTTTTCTTGATTTGCAAATAAATTTTGCCAATACCATTTTTTATTTTTTTTAATTATGTTGGAAAGAACAAATAATATGTAAATTATTTATTCGAAAATATTTTTAATTTTTTTTTCCAAAGCCCAAAAAATTTTCTTTGTTTTTTTTACAAAATAACTTTTAAATTTTATTCAATACTTTATTAAGGAGAGCTTTAAATAAAATTAATATAAAGCCTGAAGACCTACTAAAGGTTTCATTAAGCGGATCGTTTAATTTCTATTTTTTTTTTAAGTTAGGATTTTGAAGAATTTCATTTGTCAGTGGATTAAATTTTATCCAATTATGAATTTTGGTCTGTAATGAACTATTACTCATATATTAATATAAGATATTCAACCTTTCAAAAGGGTAATATTAATTTTGTTCAGAATTACATTGAAAAAATAAAAATGGTATGTCTGGCTCGTTAAGTTTAATTATATATATATATATCAAATATATATTCATATATATAAATCCTTCGTATTCCATGAAAAATTTTTTCCGTATTCCATTGTTATTTAAATTCTTGGTCAACCTGCAAAATTTCACGGAAACCACTTAGTTTTTTGGAACAAACTTAATAAAAATATTTTCCCTAGTCACTTGAATCTTAATCTCTTTCAAGGGGAAAAAACCCTTGTATTTTCCAGATTATCTATGCAAAAACCGTCTTAATTTAAATACTGTTATGGAGTGATTTCACAGTGGAGGCTTGTATTTGTACTAAGTCGGTCCTAAAATAGGTTCGACGTACAAAACGTTAGGAACTTGATATAATAGGTAATGACGCAGAGAAATCTAGTTGTGGTGGCTGATACTTTAGTATCCGACTAACGGTCGTCCGACATCGACTGACTGACCAACTCACTGAGCGACTGATTACTACTTACTACTCCTACTTATTATAGGTGGGAGAGTCTATTAACTATAGAATAGGTGTGTTCCACTATAACACTACCTCGAGTGGCTTAAAAATTTCTTCGTTGTTGAACATGTACTGTAAAAAAAATAAAATTCAACTGAAATTGAACTCGGCTCTCGATTAGTAATAAGATCCTCCATTAACTATTATCCCATATACTAATATCCAATTACATACAGTTGATGGTATTCCCAGATAGTCACCCATCTAGGGACAGACCAGATTCGATGTTGCTTAACTTCGGTGATCGTATTCTTCTTAATCAAGAAGTATCTCGGTTTTATAGCAGTTGCATTTTTCTTCGTCTGTTTTTGGACTGGATTACTATAATCTGAACTGAACTGAATATGAACTGATGCAGCATTCATGCTTGCATGGATAAAGCCGGTTTCTTCCTGTTATCAAGAAGAAGATTCTTGGGATAAATTGAAGATATTCCTTTCAATGTTACGAATATCGAGAAAAGATTCTTGGGATAAATTACAGGAAGAATAAACCAGGCCTACTCGGATAACGTTCTTGCTTAACGCGGATTCCCATAAAGACGCAGAAACAGGAACGACCAGAAGCCGCCGGTTACCGATAAAGACGCTCCTTGGATTTTATGTGTGAGCCCTTTTAGCCGGCGTGTGTCCTAGACCGGTCCGCATTTGGGTGCCCTACCAGGAACGAAGTTCCGGGCGGCACAATGAAACTATGGTTTACACCCCCCACCTACTGTGAGATGGGGGTTGGACTTTTGGGGCTTACAGTACCAGGTGTTCCCAAGCGGTAAAAAGGAATAAGTACGTTAGAATCTGGCTCTACGATGCTTAACATCGGTGATCGGATAACGAGAACCGGTGTTTCAGCGTGATTTGACCGTAAACAGTTACAAAATCACATAAAAAAAAAAACTTGTACCAAAAAAGAAAAAAAAAAAAAAATCACAACAAAAAACCCTACCAAAAAAAACATATTATTTTTTTCCATTTGCCCAGATAGCTAAAATGGATAGACACGGTATCTCAAAGTCAAAAAATTAATGACATAAGCGTGATTAAACCCAATTAGAAAAAATTAAACGAATAAAGGATGCTGCCCCAAAAAAGTGAATTGGTGGAGGCTGGGTTTATTGCCCGGCGCCTGAGGCGTCCGCAAAAGGAGAAGTGTCTTTGCAGACGGAAATTTTGGGCAATTTTTTCCGCGGCATTGATTGCCGTTGAACCCACTTTAAACTATGAAGGACCTTATTTATCGCATTTGTATCTGTTATTTCATGAAAAAATACATACAATATATTGTTCGTATTCGACATTTTTTTTGAGTTTAGGAAGGAAGCTTTCGATACAGCAACAATAGTTAATGGGCTTGAGAAACCCATTTCCTGAAAAATTATTTTATCAGAAAGAATTTTGAAATGTCAACCGAAAGTGGCACCAGCTGTTCGGTCAATGAAGGTTTTTTATTTCCTTTGCTGAATATTAAACTTTAAATAAAAAGAACAGGACAGAATTGCAAAAAAACATGTGATCCCAGCCCGATAGCCAAGGGAATGAAAAAAAATAAGGTGTTTTTTTTCGATCAATGAAGGTCGAAAGGATGAGCTGATTAACTATTATGATATATTCATTTCAGAGAGATCTTTATTATTGGGGAGTTATTTGTTGGAAAAAGTGCGACAGATAGCTCATTCGAAAAAAGTTTACAAAAAACGTGTGTATCAAGAGAGAGAGACTTTTTTTTGAGATGGAGAAAAAGAGACACAGAAAGGCGAGAGACTGGATGTTTTAGAGACCATACACATGAAAGAGAGAAGTGAACAACAAACAAGAGAATATTTTAAAAAAAAGAACAGAGTTTTAAACTACAGAACCAATTGAAATATTTTTATTTGAGCTTTTCTGAGAAATCCTGAAAAAAATAATAAAAAAATGAGTCACAAATATTAATTCACCCCAAGAAATTATAAATCTTAGCTGATGAATTTCTTATTAATATAGATAAAGATTGGTTCAGAGATATTTTAAAATTATAAAGTCAAAGAATTGCAAAGAAGGCTTGAAAGAAGTTGATTTTAATGACATTCAAAAATCAAGGAAACTTAGCAAGAGATCTTCAGAGAGTGAATATTCAATAGATGCATTGGTGAAAAAACATTTGTCTTAAACAAGATATGATTTAAAAAATTTTTAATATTTATCTAAAAATAGATGGCACTTAAAGAACAGTGAATAAGAGAAAAAAGAAAGATAAGAAAAGATAAGTGAAGAGAAGATCAGAAATGGATGAGACCATAAAAATGAATATTTATGGATTTATAAAAGAATATTCCACTATAAAATTTTGGATTTTTTTGAGATTAAAAGGAGGAATCTAGATTGAAGTGAAAGTACATTGATAATAATCATATTTTCGGTACTTATTCTGTTTACACATTTGCGAGAGAGAGAGACAAATTCGCGCGAGAGAGGTAAAAGTGACACTGGAGCGAGAGATAGACAGATATTGAGAGAATGAATAAAACTGAGTTTAAAACTAACAGGTACCACCAAACTTTGAAGGCCTTTTTAGGAATTTTGCAATATTTCTTCTGTAAGTTGCAAATAGAACAATTACATCGATTAAAGATCCTCATTCATTTAAAGCAGAAGCCTGGAAATTTAAATCTTTTCTGGACGGTCTCCTCGTTAAAAGATAAGTTACATGAGAAAGAATGAAAGATTGCTTTAATAGTTCATCTTTACTCTTGCAAGGAGTTTTTTTGAGAATTCTTGAAAAAAAAAGGCAAACAAAAAAACAAAATATGAATTTTATATTAAATATATGTCTTCCATATAACAAGAAGCTCAATATAAACAAATGGAATTAAACAAAGGAATTGAAGAATTAACGTCTTTTTAAGTCATGTTATCGAAAAATGATCGAAGAATTAAAGAAACATAAAATAATTGCTATTTAAATTACATGTATAAATTGTTTCAAATATAATTGATACTATATATATATATATATATATATATATATATATATATATAATAATCTAAGTATGACTCTCCCGTCGATTTCGAATTTAACTAAGCAAACAGATCAGTTCCCAGGAAATGGAACTAAGCCCGACAACGACACATATTTGATTATCGTCCTTTAAAGGCCTCGTGCAGGACCATATTTAACTTTTTTTATAATATATATATATATATATATATATATATATATATATATATAAATATAAAAATAATTGAACCATTTAATACGTCAAACTCTGAGGCATTAATATCTGTTTTCATACCTTTACTATATCAGGCTGAGGAAAAAAATTCAAACTGCGACTTGAAAAAAATCGCAATATGATGAAACAAAATATTTACAGTGGAACCTTTTAATTTACATACAACCTATCTCATTGATAAAAACTTATTGAATAAAAATGTTCTACAAATCTTAAAACTTAATAATCTTATCATATATATATATATATATATTTATATATATATATATTATGACGTCAATATATTTATGTATAATATATGTATGTATATTATATATATATATATATTTAACCGAGAAATAAGGATGGATTAACATAACAAATTTATTTCTTTTTACTTGGCATTTAATTTTTTAAATAATTTATCAAATTTTCATTATCTATCCTTTTTTTTGCCAAACGGTTTCTATAAAATATTCATCTATCTATCTATCTATCTATCTATCTATCTATCTATCGATCTATCATAGTCTGTTCATATCTATCTTAGTCTGTTCATATCTATCTATCTATCTATCTATCTATCTATCTATCTCGGTCTGTTCATATCTATCATTTTTTTCTTTTTTTTTACAGTAAGCTTCACCCTATACAAGGACCGAGGGTCACTCGTGGTAGAGGGTTAACTGAATTTAGTTGATACAGGCAGGAATAACAGTTTGACTTGAAACAGAGAAAAGAAAGATTATAGAAATTAGGGAACCATCCTCTGTTCCACAGAGCAGTCTTTCTGCTGGGGAAAGAAATTCTTCTAGAAATAAAATTTTGTTCAATGACCAGGCAGATAGATAGAAGAAACAATCAAGAAACACGAAAAAAAAAGGAAAAGAGGAAGAAGTGTCCTGCAAAGATTTAAATGATTAACGAAGGATTACCGTAAGTAAGAAAGGAAAAACCAAGCTTTTTTTGTTTTTAAAAAAAAATTGTCACTCTTGTTAAAAGAAAAAGAATACAATAAGATGAAAATGTTTAAAAAGTGATTTAATCGCTTTAAGTTCGACGGTAGTAAAATGGTGACCAGGTCTTTAGAACATTTCTTGATTCCTGGAAGATCTTCTGTTGTCAGAATGGGACATTTAATAACGAAGATGATGGAAACAGGAACAAAAAAGAAAAGGAAGAAAAAGAAAGAAAGAAAGAAAGATTATAGGAAAATGAAGATATATATATATATATATATATATATATATATATATATATATATATATATATATATATATAAATCTCTATAAAATATGAAGATAGAAATGAATAGCCGAGAAAGAAAGAAAGAAAGAAGAAAAAGTAAACAGACTGGAATAGATAGATAGATAGATAGATAGATAAATAGATGATAGATAGATAGATAGATAGGTAATGAACAGACTGGAATCGACAGATAGATAGATAGATACATGCATACATACATACATAATAGAAATGGACAGACTGGAATATATAACAGATACAATTTAGATAGATGGACAAATGAATGATATGAACAGATAGATATATATGAATAAACATATATGAATATATATATATATATATATATATATATATATATATATATATATATTTTTAGATAGATAGATAGATAGATAGAAATGGACAGACAGGTATATATAGATAGATATGAATAGATTTGAGTAGATAGATAGATAGATAGATAGATAGATAGATAGATAGATAGATAGATAGATGAATAATGACCAGACTGGAATAGATAGATACATACATAGAAATGGTCAGACTTGAAATATATATATATATATATATATATATATATATATATATATATATATAGATAGATAGATAGATAGATAGATAGATAGAAGGAGAGGAACTGGTCCCGAGAAAAAGATAGATAATGAACATTTGACAAATTCGAATAAATCCTAATTTTTATATTTCTCTCTCGATTGTTCTGTTGTCTTTGTATTTTTCCACTTTCCTTTCTTGTGTCATTTCAGGTTCATTTGTGTCATATTTTTTTTTGCTTCATTTTTTTTCATTCTCTTACCCACTCTCTAATTTCTCTTTCGTTCTCTCTCCCTCATTCTCCCTTATATATTAGTTGTTGCCGCCTCAACAGCTTCAAGCCGAAGATGGCAGAATGAACGGGGCTGTTTGAAAATGGTGCCTAGACTAACGGATTTGGGCGGGACTGTGATGTTGAAAAGGAATCCGTTTTCATTTTCCGCTGCCTTTGATGTGACAGACTCTGACGAAGGGCGGTGTAATTAGTCGTAACGTCGCTGCTTGCAACAATTGGTATATCGTCGCCACACATCAATTTAATCATTTTTGCTTCTCATCATCTCCGCGAGCCGACGCAGCATCTAATCTATCCGACAACACAGGCGTGCGAGGCGCACCAATTTTCCCATCTGACCCCGACCTCCAAAGAAGAGTCATTGTGCTCTGCTTGATATACCCCCACCCACCCCCCGAAATGCTGGAACTGGATTTTACATTCTCTTTTCTCCAAAAAAAATGTCACTTAGATTTTATTCTATCTGATTCTTTACAATCAAAAATCAACAGTATTTTACGAGCACCATTTTTTCTTAGACTTTTCTCTTTTTTCTTTTTATGTCGATTTTTTCATTCCCTTTTAATTAATTCTTTATTTATTTATTTCTTACTTTCTTTCGTTCTTCCTTTCTTCCTTTCTCTCAAGGCCAGTGTCTTTCTTTCCACTGCTTTTCTTTTTTTTGCTTTCTTTTTATTTCGTTCGTTTTCATCTTATTTTTCCCTCCTCCTTTTAACACATTTTCTTGTTTCCTTTTTTCTTTCTTTCTTTTGTTCTAGTTCTCTTTTTTTCTTTCTTTCTTTCTTTCTTTCTTTCTTTCTTTCTTTCTTTCTGTCAAGCGACATCTTTTTGTTTCCTCTGCTTTTCTTTTTTTTCGCTTTCTTTGTAATTCGTTCGTTTCCATCTTATTTCTCTCTCTTTCGTTTTAAATCATTTTCTTTCTTTCTTTCTTTCTTTCTTTCTTTCTTTCTTTCTTTGCCTCATTTGGTTTATCTGTTAATGTCTCCCCACTATTTCTTTCTTTCTTTCTTTCTTTCTTTCTTTCTTTCTTTCTTTCTTTCTTTCTTTCTTTCTTTTCTTTTCTTTTCTTTTCTCTTCCCCTTGACCTTCTTTCTGCTTTTCTTTTCTTTCCCTTTCTTTTTATTTCGTTCTTTTTCATCTATCTATCTATCTATCTATCTATCTATCTATCTATCTATCTATCTATCTATCTATCTATCTGCAGTATGAGAAGTGTTACGCAACTTACCATACATACCAGTTCATTACTCTTTGCTTAACCAACCATGGCCTTGTGTCCGAGTTGGTTAAACAGATCGTCACATTTTTACAGAACAACACAATGTGTTTGGCATGTCTTCTTTTCAAACGTACCCCCTGCCTATACTGATGGTTAAATGAACAACACAAAAGTTTATTCTCAGAGGCCAGTTGCTATATCTTGCATCCCTACGAGACAATCTGGCGATGTTGTAGGCAGAATTGTTTAATAAATATTTTAAACGCAAAGGTCAAGTGGCCATTTATTCTGGCGAACCGGTTTCCAGGTTTTCTCAAATCCTTCTATCCCCAAACTTACCAGTTTCTTTATATAGAAATATTCTTTTGTCGTTCGTAGTTTTATTTTTCATTCGCCATGTTGTTGTTTTTTTTTTAATTGTTTTTCTTCATTTTTTTCTCTCTTTTCTTTTCTTTTTCAATTTCTGTTTCTTTTCTTTTTCTTCTTTTTTTTATTACTTTAGCTGTCTCTTCTCTTTTTTCGTTCTTCTGCCATTTTTTCTCTTTCTGTTTTTTTTATCTTTTTTTTTTGTCATTGACTACTTTGTTCACCTTTTCTTTTTTTCTTTTTGTTCTCTGAATTTTTTTCCTTAATGTTATTTTCTTTCTTTGTCGTTTTCTAACTGATTATGTTTTTTTTTATTATTATTTCTCCTTGTTTATATTTTTCTTTATCGGTCCTTTTTCTCATCATTTATTTTCTTGTCCTTTTCTTTTCTCCTCTCATCATGAGATTTATCTGTCATTTATCTCCCTTATTATTTTTCGTCTTTCTCTTCTGTTTTGGCCCGTTTTTTCTTTGTTTGTTTGTTTGTTTCTTTTTCCTTTCTTTCTTTCTTTCTTTCTTTCTTTCTTTCTTTCTTTAGTAATAAACAATAATATTAATAATAGCAACAAAAATAATAAGAAGAAGAAGTCTAAGAAGAAGAAGAAGAAAAGGCGGAGAAAAAAAGACAAAAAGAAAAAGAAAAAAAAGCAATAAATAATAATAATAATAATAATAATAATAATAAGAAGAAGAAGAAGAAGAAGAAGAAGAAGAAGAAATCCATAACAAAAATAAAATAAAAATTAAACTGGACGATCATGAAAATGAAGGGTAATAACAAAGAGAAAGAGAAAAAAAAAGAGAAAAAAGAGAAAGCAAGAGAGAAAAAAATGACGTTGTTATTATTATCATTTCTTTCTGTCTTTATTTCTCCTTCAGTTATATTCAAAATTGTTAACATAAGTATTTTCTTTCTTCCTTCCTTTCTTTCTTTGTTTTTCTTTTTTACGTTTTTTTTTTACTTTTTTCGTTTGTGTCTTCTTTGCTTTCGTTTTTTTTTGTCTTCGTCTACCTTTTCTTTGTTATCTTTTCTTTTCATCTTCAACTTCATCCATATCTTTTTCGTTTTCATTTTCTTTTTTTTTTTCGTCTCCTTTTCTCGTCTGAATTTCTATTTATCTCTTTCGTCTTTTTTCGTTCTCGTTTTCTTCTTTTTTTTTGTCTTCTTTTCTGACTTTTTCGTCTTTGTCTTCGTTTCACTTTCGTTATAATTTTCATTTTCTTTTTCTTCATCTTTTTTCTTTTCTTTTTTTTCATCTTAGTTTCGACGTCCTTCTCATTTTCTTTCACTTCTTTTGTTTCATTTTTTGGTCGTTTTCTTTTTTCCAGCCTCGTTTTCATTTTCACCTTCCTTTTCCGTTTTTTCGTTTTCTTTTTTGACTTCGACTTTTTTTTTCGATTTTTTATTCATTTTTATTTTCTTCCACTTTTATTTCTTTTGTCCTTTTTATCGACTACTTTTCATTTCCATGACTTCTTCTTCCACCTTCGTTTTCATTTTCTTTTTGTCTTTGTCATTTTAAAACGTCTTTTTCATTGTCATTATCAGTTTTTATATTCATTTTCGTCTTTCTCTTTTGTTTGCCTTCTTCACCTGCATTGTCTCCTTTACTTTCGTCATCTTCTTTTTTAACTTAAGCCCTTTTTAGTTCATTTTTCTTTTTCACTCTAGTTTTTCTATCGTCCATTCTCACGCCCACTCACCCGTTTAATATTTCCACAATTTCTCAAAGACACCCTCCACCATAGTTTTCCATCCATCTTTTTCGACTATTCGTTTCCACCTCCACCCTCTCTTTATATTCCATACTTTTCCTCTCAGTTCTTTATTCCATCACTCTCATTTATCTCCTTCCATTTTAAAGTCTTTGACCTGCGCACCTAACCTTTTCACATTTGAGCACGCTATGTTGATGTGGGTCTTCTGTTCATTTTAATAAACTCAAAATGGCTCCCATAGTTTGCAACTGCAGCAATGCACCATGGGATTGAAGAAGAAGGTCGGTAAAAAAAAAAAAAAAGAACTTCAGTAACCCAACCATAACGAACACAGCATTCCCCTTTGTTTTATCTTGAATTTTCTCGTTATTTTTAAAACAAATACTGAGTTTATTTTGCAGTGAAGATAAATAAAGACTATGTCTGGGCACCTCATGTTTGCGTAGGGCTGGAAAAAGCATAAAATATTTTTTTATGGGTACAGTCGAACATTAAAGTGTACAAAAAAAAAATACGAGGGTAGTAAGTAAATTAAGAGTCTTTTTTTAAGGAACAAAACAGATGTTTCAACGCATGACGAGGAGATGGCTTGGGGGTTTACGAACAAGATTGAAAACATTAAGCACTTTAACTGTCTTGTTCAACGCCCATTGGTGCTGAAGAGATGAGGCTCCTTAACATTAAAAAAATAAACATTAAGTGGTTTGGGTAATTTTTTTCAAAGGAGGACTGAGGTAATACACTTTCAAAATCGTGGCAACTGCACTATTACTACGCACGTTTACAATTAGCTGGGCAATTACACAATTAGGATCACGTTTACGGTGAGATTTGAACTATTCAGTGGGGATTAGAATCAAGTAGTTTTCAAAAAATATTAGCGCAATATGACAGTGAGGGCTAAGTAGGAACTTTTCAGTTCTTTCTTTCTTTCCGTCTTATCCAATCAGTTCATTCTCTACCTCCTCTCTGTCCATCTATCTATCTCAGTCTGTTCATATCTATCTATCTATCTATCTATCTATCTATCTATCTATCTATCTATCAATCTATCTATCTATCTATCTTTCTCAGTCTGTTCTTATCTATCTATCTATCTATCTATCTATCTATGTTTACAACTATATAACTTTGGTGACCGCTTGAGAATACCAGCTGCTGTATTTTTGGATGTGCGGTGTAATGGATAATGGCATTGTTAATCAGAGAGCCAAGTTTCAATCCCAGTTGGGTTCGTTATATTCACTTACACGCAAATATCCAAGGAAAATGTGTGAATCTACCCTTCCCTAGGTATGGGTTAATTAGTAAGGCTAATCCTTATTATCCCTCCCAAATGGTTTATTATAAAAATATTTTCTCGCTTTAAAGGTTGAAAATCATGAAAATAAATCTATCTATCTATCTATCTATCTATCTATCTATCTATATATATATATATATATCTATATGCATATGTTAACTCAAATACATTTATCTACTATAAATAACGTTTAAATAATAATATATATATATATATATATAAATATATATAATTATATATATATCCCATTGTTTTATATCAACGGCTTCCCATACTTAATACTTCCCGAATTCACTCTCGCGTGGTCATGTGTGACGTCATCAGGTGCAGTGCAATTTTCGCTTCCAGCGTCTTATATGCACGTTTTTATCGTTGCTTGGAAATCATCCATGGAAACAGAAACAGACTATCATCACATTCTTGTCCGTGTATTTCTTAATATATTGTACAGTAACTGTCATCTTTGATAATGGCTTATGTAAGCCGAAGGCTTATATTGGATTAAAAAATATGGATCAATATTGTGATTTTATTTCTTCGTTTAATGATAATGTTATTAAGCTTATCAGACGTTATGAAAAGAATTTACATAAAATAAATAGACAACACATGTCTATATTATTTAATGAAAATAAATAAAAAAATGCTGCCTAAATACATATATATATATATATATATATATATATATATATATATATATATATATATATATATATATCTTGTGTGTGTGTCAAGTGAAAAAATAAAAGGAGATAAAATGTAGCATCTAAATTTATTGGTTAAAACATGTTTATTAAATATGCTAGCCTAGAAACTGCATGTGCAAATATAAGAAAATTGTTTTAAAAAATTTTGTTAAATCTAGTTGAACACGACAGTAAAAACAAGATATCAATGTGGCTGAGGGGGAATTTTAGCGAAAGCTTTTCATTAAAAAAGAGGTTTTTAACGATATTTTAATAAAATTATAATAACTCATCGTGTAATTGAAAGCTCAAAATTATTTATAGTGGTCTCTAGACAGTTGTGAGATTTTCGTCCTATTTTTTAGGACTCATTTAACTAAATCCACTACCAGAAAAAAAAAAAACAAGTCAAATTAACCAAACGAATCTTTATGTCTTTGTTGGGTCTGGAAAATTTAGCAAACTAGACTAGGAATGTGATATCTCGTTCACATATTCCAGGTGGAACTCATCATTACAGTGTATATCGGATAAAAAGAGTTGTTATTTATATATATATATGGGAATATATCCGGGTTATATATCATTTTTCTGAGGTTTGGTCTATTTTGTTTAATTAACATAAGTCTCTGAATTTGGAACGTATTTAGAAAGGGTCTCTTATAGGAAGTTTCTCTTATTTGTTTAGTTATATGGCATTTGAAGAACTGTATTGTATCAAATTCATCTGAGGAATGGGATTCCATATGTAAAAGAAACTTTGAATATCTATAAAAGATATTCTGACACATTACATCTGGTCGTTTTTATTAAAGCCTTATAATAGTATATAAAATTACCAAACCCGGAAATAAGGTTAAAAAAGAATATTTAAACCCAGAAAATAACCTGACAATGTTATCTTATATAAAATTTTTCTAGCCGATTTATATTTTTTTATATATATATATATATATATATATATATAAATTATTAGTATCATTAACAGAAATTTTATAAGTATAAGAAAAAAATCGTCCGGAAAAATCTTCGGTGTCGGAGTGGCCAAATAAATAGACCAATACCAAAGGAAAAAAAAAAATTATAAAAAAGAAAGAACCAAGAACATGTACGTTAGCCAAAATAATCGTCCAGCATGCAAATTAAAGGTAAAAAAAAAAAACCCGAACACGAGTATATATAAATTAATGGATTTAATTAGTAATCCGACATTTTTATTTTTTTTTACAAAATGGATATATTTATAAGATAATGTATATATCTTAATATACATATATATATATATATATATATATATATATATATATATATATATATATATATATATATTATATATATATATCAATTATTCTCTTGATATATATATAAATATGATTTTTGTTGGGTTAAAAAAATATTTTACAGATTTAAATATATTCATGAAAATTTGCTTGCATTAATTTAAACGATTTTTATTAAAATCATTATAATTGTGATAATTTCTCAAATTAAAATAAAATATTTTTCTTGGATAAATTGTAAAAAAAATCTTATATAAATAATTTATTAAAATTTTTGT